CTATCTGTGAACGAGGCAAATCGCAAAAGGCCAATTAGAGGAGTGGAGCTTTAAGTGGCGAGTCTCTTCCTCAGTGGCTGCAGAACTACTCACAAGTCTTTTGCGAAACGTTGAACCAGATGAGGTTTCGGCGAAACACCTGCGAAGCGTCGGCATACACCACTTCGTCAATGTCATCGTACCACCCCTGAAGCTGGGAGGCATCATGGTCTTGGTCTGCGCTCCTCTCTGCACAGCTGGGCCTTGTCTTCGAACTCGAAGACGCGACATGGTCATCCAAACATCTGGTGAAAAAGGCCTATTGACAGGTCCCACTTCTCTGTCATCTCTGTCAAGCCCACGAAGACACAGCTTTCACCCTGTGCTGCCTCCAAGGCGTCCCGAAGCGTCACCCTGGGTCGGCGCGAATCCAATGCTGTCATGGCTTGGTTCGCAGTCAGCTGATGCGTCATACTGCGTGTCCATGCACTGGCAAAGCCCAGCAGTTGCCTCTTCAGCAAGCCTCTCACTAAGGATCCGGTGCACTTCCTTCCGATTTCGTGCGGCCAAACAGGGGTTTTGGGGTCACAGAACATGCCAGTAAAACATTCCCACCAAGTGACCCATCTGGCCGGCGTAGCCCTTGTGGCCACAAGGGCATGTGGCCACGAGCGTGACACTCTTGTGGGCAGCGCTCCTGGGTCCAAGAAAGCTTTTTGAAGTTGAAAGCTCGTTGAAGGAGCTCGTTCAGGGTTTGGACGGTTGAAGGGGGCTGGGGGCCTGAGGTCGTTCAAGAGCCAGGGGGTCCTTTTTTTGCGATTAGCTGTCTCAATGAGAATGCCCCCGCCCCCCCTCCCCCTCATCTCATGCGGAAGGGAACATTGCGGCATGCATTCCCCTCCCCCCCTGCCCGCCTTTACAGTATGTCAAGCCTTGGAGCAGGGGTCGAGGGGGGTCCAGGCTGGGGCTCGATTTTGCGTTGTCTCCCCTTGGAACCCTCCACTCTAACCCTCCTCCTCCTCGGCCTTCCACTACTCACCCTAAACCCTAAGCCCTAAACCCTCAACCCTAAACCCTATTAGGGTTTGGCGTTTTATGGTTTAGTGCCAAACCGGATTCTCCGGCGGGGGGGCGCAGGCCGAATCATTGTTTCTCTTTTTTTCTGAACAGGAATTCCGCTCATCTGCATATCTTCTTTGTGGGATGGTGGTGGGCTATGCTGCACTGCTGACGTCCTGACGATCCTAGCCTTATTTGCGTTTCGAGGGGCTCTCAAAAATTCTAGATCCTGCTCTTTGTGTGGCCGTGCCCTCTTTACATGATCTTGGGCAAGGTCATTCAAAGAGCGGGCAAGGTCACATAAAGAGCCGGCAAGGCAATACAAAGCGGGCAAGGTCGCATGTAAAGAGTGGGCATGGTCCTTTAGATTGAGCCGCACCCCCCACCGTCCCGCCTTGCCCTAGGGTTTCGGGTCCTCGGGTCAGGGTGAGGCAAACGGTTCAGGGCATGGGGTTCAGGGCCCAGTGTTTACGTAGGGTTTAGGGCTAGGGTCTGGTTCTCTGTGTGTGTGTGTGTGTGTGTGTGAAACATGTCAATATCTTCTGTCATGGTATGAGAGTAGAATGCTTGGACTTGACGCGCGGAACCCTAAAACCAATCTGGTCAGCTGGTCTTTGCTAGAACCCTAAAACATTAACCCTAAACTCTAAACCCTAGGGTTTAGGGTTTGGGGGTTAGAGTTTATAGGGTTGATACCCACAAGCAACAAAGAAAAGTAGTAAACGCTCGGCCTCTTTCTTTCAAAGAGCAGAAGGCCCCTACTACCTTTATCTACTACGCTTCTTTTTAGGCACGTGTTGTTATTGCAGTTGTTTTGAGGTTATGTTGCTAAGAAGCTTTGTCTTGTGCATTTTGCCAATTGCCCAGAGCAGACTCAGGGGCACCTAAACCTAAACCCTAAACCCCAAAGATCGAAGACCGATCTTGAGGAACTTGCGCCGTTTACTTGTACAGAATGTTGAAAATCACTCAGGAAGCCTCTTTAAAACGCACTCAAACCAACAAAACTCTTGCAGCCCCATCTACGGATAAGTTAACACACCATTCCTGTCAGACCAACAAGCCCAATCACTTCCTACTTTTTGCAAAAGTTGGCCTTGGCAACCCCTTTTTGCGAACCCCTATATAGTACCCCACTCGTCCAACCCGCCCTGGGACCTGCTGTTGAATCGAAAGCAAGCGGTCATCTCTTTGTTGAACTTCCAGGCCCCAGTACATGTCCAACAACCTCAGAAATTGGCGCCAATTTGCGAGCTGCTGGTCTGCGGCATACCCTCGTCTCTCTTCCGCCAAGACGTCTTGCTTCCTTAGATGTGCTGATGTGTGGCAGGTATGGTCTAATGCAGAGGTAGACGCACTGCAAATTCGACCCCGTAGAACCTCCATGATTTTCCATGACTTTCCTGCATCTTGCATAGGATAGGCCCCTTACTTGCTGGGTCACCAACGAGCCTTCACAAGTTGGCACCCCTGCAGGGACACGTCTCATGTGTGCAGAAAACGCTTTGCAGCTAAACCGACTCTCATCCAGACATGCCTTATTCAAGTGAGATGTTTCTTGACACATCATCATCGCTCAACAATACATTTTGAACATTTCTGCTAAACATGGATTTATGGAACATGTGAACATTTGCAACCTCCATCAGCCTCCTCAACTCATCATCCCCTCTGTCCGTCAGGGCAACGGGCCGATTCATCCCTCGACAAAGTCCAATACGTCTTGTACATACACACGTCACACGTAGTCGGCGCTCATGCGCTTGGACAAAGGATTTTCGTCCTTGAAGCGGCAGTGCATCTGCAAGCCGAAATGCGCACGAAACAGATCTGACTTTTCTGGGCAACAAAGCTTTGTGTTCTCAACATTCGCAACCCAATTAGGAACGAGGACACCCCATAACAGTGCAAGCTGCTGTCGCAGATTCCGCAAGCTCCACCAGCTGATGCTGCACGGCATTGCACAGTGAACCAATTGAATCTTTTGCCACTACAAAGCTGGCAAGTACGCTTCTGGTTGGAAACAGGCGCGCAGGAGAGATAGCAAGATCTGGCTTCTGCAAGAACCGTGGCTCCAGAGGCAGCATTGAGGCTCATAGCACAACATGGAGGAACACCGCTGTGCATTATTCACAGGGTTCAGGCAGATGGCAGATCCAGGCAGTGCAGGTCGGGGGAATGACTGATCGTTCGATCTCACATCCCGCCCGCACTGAGGGAAGTGTTTGCATCTTAGTGCGCAAACTTTCACTACGTGCTGATGACTCAACTACTAGTCCAGATTCCCAGCTGAAGTACGAGATCCTGTGTCTCAATGCGAATAAACAGCAGGTCTGTTGAGCGCACTTGGCATGAGAGCATTTCTGATCACGCGTCATGCAAACAAACTGCGCGGGTCACTGAAGATCAGATGGCGACCTTCAGAAAAGGGACCTTGCTGTTGTGGATCATTGGATAGCTTGGTAGTGTGCAGAATTGTGCAGATCTACCCTCTGTAAAAGTGCTTTGATATGTCTGTTGCCTGCGTCCCAAAGCGCCCCGAAAGTGTGCCATGTAGCGCTGTTAAGTCGAGCTGAACTTTTGGAGAGCGGGGGTTCCTTATTGCTAGTTCGCAACAAGTGTCGATGCAGCAGCGGCATACACTGATGTGTTTTCTGATGTCTGGGGCTTCGAAAGCCTGCTTTGCACATGTGAAAGGAAGCTCGCATTACACACATATAAACATGTAGAAAATATGTTTGAAAGCCAGAAAGGTAAGCCTCATATATAACAATACATATATATATATACGTATGTTTTTGTATTTATTTGCATACTTATTTATTTATGACCATAAGGCCCGCTGAAGGTGCGAGTGCGTGCTGAGTGGATGAAATGAAGCTTGTTTGTTCGGAGCCCTGATGTGAGAGCTTCCACATTGACATCCCACGGGGTGCGACATCAAACCTGACTCGATAAGGGTTTGCTCGTGTGGGTCCACTGATACTAGTTACAAGCACAACATGCTCCAGGCGAAGTGCTAGCCCATCTGTTGCTGCTGCCACTTAGGCACGGGCAACTTAGGTCGTGTCCCGTCTGGGCCGCATCTTTGGTTCAGCCTGGGAGTAGTATGACATGCCATACAGTGGCAGGATTGCCCCAACAATCACGTTTTGCTCTCTGTGCAGTGGCTGGCTCGCGTGTCTTCAGAGTGCACCCTCGTGTCCGAACTTTTGCATAAGACTTTGGCAGAAGCCGCCACTCCATCAAGTGCCGACAGGAGGATGGGGCTGGCTCCAGGTCCAAGTGCACCGGGTCTGCCTAGAGTCGAGGGAATGAGAAAACTTCTTTCAGAATCACCGTCTAGAATCGCAATCACGTGGATTCGCATAGCTCACTCAGCCCCTAGCGACCTGGGCTTGGGAATGGAAATTTTAGGGAACATCTCTAGGTGAGCGTGGCTCACAAAACGTGCAAAAGTGTGTCAGCTGCCAGCGCCTTGTGGAAGATGGCTCCCTGTCAGCGCAGACAACATAAAAAACACATCTGTTCAATTCAAGGCAGGTGGCCTCCAGTGCCTTCTCCATCCTGCACACAAAAACGCGACATTCCGTGAGATCACACTTGATGATTCTTTTTCAGTCGACCTGCTTGCCGAGGCCACGATCCTCAGGCGATCTACCCGGCTGGTCTACAAATCCTGTCAATGTCCATGGTGCCATGGTGCTACAAAGTCACTGCGACATGCTGGCCAAGGCGCTTCATCAGAGTGTGGATCGTCGAGCTGGAACTGGCGGAGGGAAGAGGTAATGTTTGACAGTGTCAGTCTCGCTCAGTGAAGGTACAAACCGAATGCTACATGTCAACGCTTTAGCTTGTTGAAGTATATACGATGCCACGACGACAAAACAAAGGGCATGGTATATTTCATTGTTCTCGGGGTGTTTTCCCTGATTCTCTTTCGGTGACGGTTTCTATTCTTATTCTGCCGGTTCCTTTTTCGGGCCTCAGGACCTTCCATCCTAATCCGATGGTGTTTAATTTTATTCTACGGGTTCTATTTCTTAGCCCGGGCAATCCGGGGGGTGGGGGTTATGGAGTCCAAAAAAGGGGTTTAGGGGTTTGGCAGATTGAGGAGTTCAGTTTCCACGATCCACCCTGAGGATTGAGGTGAAATTCATGTAGGCTCACATAGGATGTTCTGACGCTGGCGAATGGTGGGAATGGTGTGAAGTGGCGAGACTGGTAGGTACTGGCAAGAATTGTTGGCTAAGGGGTAGCGTTGCGAATGCTTGGCAATTGGTTCAAGATGGAAACGGTGGGAGTGGTAGTTGGTGGGGAATGGCTGGTAGTGGCAGGAAATGGGGGAATGGTGGGAATGGCGGAAATGGTGGGTACATGCTGGCGGAGAGTAAGGGGGGAATGGTGGAAATGGTGAGAAATTGTAGAGATTGTCTAGCACTGGCGGGAAAGGGGGGCATGGTAAAAATGGCGGGCTTTTGGACTGGTGGAAGTGGGGCGAAGTGGAGCGTCGTGATGCGTAGTGGTGGGCAATGAGTAAGTTGTGGGATATCGAATAATGCGGGGAACGGCGGGAATTGCGGGTGATGAATGGTGTGTAATGGTGGGGATGGGGATGGCAATATGGGCGGGAAATGGTGGGAATGCTGGGCTATGGTGCGAATGAGGCACGGTGGGTGCAAATGGAATGCTGAGAATGGTGTGCGGGGGCGTTCGGGTAATCGTGGGAATGGTGGGAATTACGGGTGCTGGTGTGTGAGGGTGGGTATTGTGGGGATGGCGGCAATATGGTGGGAAATTGGGAACATGGCAGGTCATAGCGGGAATGCCATGGTTTGGGTAGCAGGGTGGCGACTAACGGTATCGGTGGGTGTGGGTGGGACCGGGAATAATGGTGGTAAGATAGGAATGTTAGGGAATGGTGGGCAATGGTGGGGATTGGTGGGGAATGGTGGGTGGGGATGGTGGAAATGGTGGGTAATGGGAATGGTGGGAATGGCAAGCTGGTGGGCATGGTGGGAAACGGGAACGGTGGGAATGGCGAGCTGGTGGGTAAATGCTGGGTGGAAATGTTGGGTAATGGAGGGCATGGGGAGTGGTGGATGGTGAGGTGGGTCGACGTCAGGTGGTGGGTGAGGGTTGGGTATAGTGGTGGGAATGCTGGGCTGCGCGGACGGTGGCAGGTAGTGGTGGGTATGGGCAGTGGGGTTGGTGGGCGGTAGACGATGGTTGGTGCTGGTGGAGTATGGGAGTATGGCGGAAATGGCGGGTACATGGTGGCTAGGGGGAATGGTGGAAATGGTCGGAATGGCAGAGAATGCATGTGTAGTACTGGCGGGAAATGGTAGAAACGGTGAAAATGGCGGGTTTTTGGATGCGTGGTGATGCGAATTGTGGGATTGCGGGTGATGAATAGTGTGTAATGGTGGGGCTGGGGACGGCACTATGGGCGGGAAACGGCGGGAATGATGGTTTATATGGTGCGATGGGGAATGGTCTTCCATGGTAGGTAGAAATGGAATGCTGGGAATGGTGTGCGGGGGCGTGTTTCGGGTAATGGTGGGATGGGCTATGCGGGGCGGCAATATGGTGGGAAATGGGGAACATGGCAGGTCATAGGGGTTGCGATTGGGTAGTAGGGGTAAGGGTGCGACTTGCAGGGGACAATGGCGAGGTATGGTGGAGTGGTGAGGAATGCTGGGGAAGAGTAGGATGGTGACTAATGTTGGGACTGGCAGGGAATAATGGCGGGTATGGTAAGGAATTGAGGGAATGGCAGGTATTGGTGGGAAGGGAATGGTGTCGATGGGTACTGGTGTTGCATGGTGGGTAGCAGGATGGCGAGTAACGGTAACGGTGGGTGGCATACTGGTGGTATGATAGGAATGGTAGGAAATGGTGGGGAACATGTCGGGTAATTACATGGTGGCTGGTACTGGCGGGTAAGGGGGGAATGGTGGAAATGGTGGGAATCGTAGAGAATGGTGAAATGGGGGGTTTTTGGACTGGTGGAAGTGGTGCCAGTGGTGCGTAGTGACGCGAATGGTAAGATTGCGGGTGATGAATATAGTGTGCAATGGTGGAGATAGGGACGGCAATATGGGCGGGAAACGGTGGGAACGATGGTTTATATGGTGCGATTCCATGGTAGTTAGAAATGGAATGCTGGGAATGGTGTGCGGGGGCGTGTTTCTTGTAATGGTGGGATAATGGGAATCGTGGGTACTGGTGCGTGATGGTGGGACTTTGTGGGGATGGGCTATGCGCGGAGCGGCAACATGGTGGGAAATGGATGGCAATGGAACACATATGAAAACATCGGAGGTCATCATAGGAATGCGATGGTTTTGGGGATGGGCTATGCCGGGCGGCAATATGGTGGGAAATGGAAAACATGGCAGGTCATAGGGGGAATA